GAATTCAATCCTCCCTCCTCCACCACCTTCTCGGGTGTTCCATTCCCACCACACACACACACACACACACACACACACACACCCCACACTCCCAACCCGTGTCCTCGTCCTCACAAGACCCTCACCCTCATTCAAATCAGGCTGCATCCGTCCTCAGAGAGAAGAGATAGTTACCAGAGGGCGCAAGATGTGAGTGAGAAAGGGCAGGGGAGGGGCCGGGGCCGCAGACCGGGGGGTCCCACACCAGGCCCTCCCAGAGACACACAAAGCGGTGGAGCTGACTTGCTTGGCCAGAGTCTTAAACCCCAGGATGCGATCAGGAGTCCACAGTGTGTATTCCCATATGAGATGGAATGACTGCTCTCCAAGTCACCCCAGTGCGGGCCCCTGCCCCACTCCCACTCTGCCAGACACAGATTCTGGCTGGAACTCTAGATGGTCCCTGAGAGTCTGCAAAGACCAAAGGTCAATTCAGAGCCCTCTCCCTAAAACAAACTGAGCAAAAGTGGATTTTACAGGATGGGTACAGTGAGTGTCCTGTGAAGCAGAGGACGATGCGCTGCCCAAGGACTTGGGCTCCATCCTCCTTGGGGTCCCAAGAGGAGGCAGAGCAACGCAGTCTAGCCTTGTACCCCCTCAACTGCCCGCCTCTCCCCTCGGCCACCACCTCCTACATGCCCAGACCTGTATGTTGGCAAGGAGCTCCGACAGAAGCAGGAAGTGCCTCAACTCTAAAGCACAAAGGCCATTCCAGCCAGGAGCCCGATCCTGTAACATGGCTGGACCACTTATTGGCAGCAGGGAATCCCTAGAAGCCACCACAAATCCTAGGATCCCAAGAGACAGCAGAGGCGTGGCCATTTTTGTCCCCTTCCCCCACCCTAATGTCATGCCCTAAGATGCAAGAACCACATCTGATCTAGGCTTAAGTACCCCAAGTAAGAGGCCTGGTATCCCCCGTGTGCAGAGGATGCAGATGAGGATGGGGGCTGCGCCTTCCCTCCCCACCCCTCCAGCAGCCGCCCCCTTGCTCTTTCCCAGGATGCACCACTTCCCTGGAGCCTGCTGCTCCCGCCTGGCCTGGGACCACTTTTTTTTTTTTTGAGACAGAATCTTGCTCTTTTGCCTAGGCTGGAGTGCAAAGGTGCAATCTCAGCCTCCTAGGTTCAAGTGATTCTTGTGCCTCAGCCTCCTGAGTAGCTGGGACTACATGCGCATGCCACCACACCCGGGTAATTTTTTGTATTTTTAGTAGAGACAGGGTTTCACCATGTTGGCCAGGCTGGTCTCAAATTCCTGACCTCAAGCAATCTGCCTGCCTCAGCCTCCCAAAGCGCTGGGATTACAGGCATGAGCCACTGCACTCAGCCAGGAGGCCACTTTCATAACCCCCAACCAGCTCTCTGGGAAGTCTCTCCTGGCCCCCTCTCCCTGGTGTAATGCCCTCAGTCATGAGAGCACCCATGCTGTCAGGGTCCCTGGGAACTCACCCTGACCATCCTAGGGCTGTGTCCATGATTATGGGCAGGTAAAAATCGGGGAGACCTTGTAGGTTCAGCAGGAGGTGAAGGGCAAGAGGAGACCTGGTGGGCAAGTCCAGGGGCCCCGTGAAGGGCTCTGATATAACTGACCTGAGTTTGCATGGAGGGCAGAAAGAAAGAAACAATGGTGGTAGCCAAGACCTCTGAGGCCAGGGTGCAAGCAGTGTCCAGAGAACCCTGCCTGCCCAGGGGCCATAATGGTACTTTCCAGGCCCGCCCGCCCCCACCCCAGGCCTCAGCCAACAGGACGGCATTGCTCTGTGGGCGCCTGTCCTCCATGCTGAATACGCACCCCCGCTAGAGGTCACCTAGGTCCCAGGGGTATGAAACGGAGCTGACCTTCCACATTTGCCCTTCCAGCAAGAACAAGAGGGACCTCCATCTTTCTCAAGGGCTTCCGGGCCCACCGTCTAGCTGGGGGTGGGCCTCCTACCCCCCCAGCCCACCCTTTTCCAAGCTCCCTTTCCTCTGCAGTCATTTTACTGTGGCCACCAGGGAGAGGGGGCAGCTCTCAGAGCCTCTGTTCTGCTCCCTGTGGGCAGTGCCCAAGCAGAGGGTCACCAGCATAGCCAGGCCATTGGGTTCATGGACAAATCACTTGCCTCAGAGGCTCTAGAGGAACCTAAAATGGCACCCAAAATTGGGGGGCAGCACTGCGTAGTGGCCAGGCGTGAACTGCCACCAGTTATTAGCTGTGGGAGTATATACAAATCTCCAGCCTTCGGCAAATAAGCCACATTGGCCGGCCCGCAAGGCCACACCAAGAGTACTTCCTTCCTGCTGGGAATTTTGCGAAGACTCCACGCACACTCAGCAGAGGACCTGGAGTGGAGCACGCTGGCTGCCATTACTTGCACCATTCCCTGTCTCTTCACCTGCTGATGGAAATTCTCTTAACTAGAAGCAAAGCCTGTAGGTTAAGGACAAAGCATCAAGGGCCACTATTCTTGAGGTTACATAGTGACATTTACACCGAAGTGTATGTGACGCATACCAGAGAGTGGGGGCTAGTGCAGCCATCATCTTGCCGTCCAGGCAGGTAAATCATCTGGGGGCGATGGCGATGAGGGGAGTCGCCTCCCCAAGGGGTCAAACCCAGAGTCTCTCATTGCACCTCAAGCCTGTCCCCAGAGAAGAATACATGGGCTCCCTGGGACAGCATCGCCCTCCAGAGTCCCTGCTGCAACAGCCGCGCTAGCCTTCCCACCCACGGAGAGAAGGCTTCGATGCAGGGGAAAGGGCTGATCCTGGGACAGCTGTCCAGCCCAGTGCCACTGCAGCCATGGCTGCTGCACAGTCATCAGCTCCTCCTGACCCCCAGTCCTGGGGACTCTCCCATCCCCACAGTACGTACTGCAACTATCTCATTCAAGGTGCTGGGCACTCGCAGCAGGGGTCATATCCCAGACCTGGGCTCCCCCAGTCACCAGCTGCAGGTACTGCCACTCTCCCTGGACCCTCCCAGCTGTTCCCCTCATCCCCAAGACAGCTGAATGAACACAGGAACCAGCACCCTCACGCCGCCCTGGGGCTTCCTCTCACTTCCCTCGTCCTGAGAGGCGTCCACCCTTCTAGCCCTGGTCTCCTGCAGGGTATCCCACGATCTTTCTTCTTCTTTATTTTTTTTTCCTTTTTGAGATGGAGTCTCGCCCTTGTCACCCAGGCTGGAGTGCAATGGCGTGATCTCGGCTCACTGCAGCCTCCGCCTCCTGGGTTCAAGTGATTCTCCTCCCTCAGCCTCCCGAGTAGCTGGGATTACAGGCGTGCACCACCATGCCCAGCTAATTTTTGTATTTTTAGTAGAGACGGGGTTTCACCATGTTGACCAAGATGGTCTCAATCTCTTGACCTCGTGATCCACCCGCCTCGGCCTCCCAAAGTGCTGGGATTATAGGCATGAGCCACCGCGCCTGGCCTTTTTTTTTTTTTAAATATGGAACACTTCATGAATTTGTGTGTCATCCTTGGGCAGGGGCCATGCTCATCTTCTCTGTACTGTTCCCATTTGATATATGTGCTGCAGAAGCAAGCACATCGCATCATCTTTCTACACCAGCAGAGCCTCCCCTCCGTTCATGCCTCAGTTGGTGCCCACGCCCCTGCCCTACAGAGAAGTCACAGATGGAGGCTCTACCTCCGTGTCAGCGGAACAGGTTTTCATATCCCGCATGATTCTGTCTTGCCTTTGCTTCCTCAACGTACTGTGTGGGGGACCCAATACGGCGTGTGCCTATTGTGTGGCCTCCCCATCTGCTGTTGCATAGGCTTGCTGAGAGCCAGAACCTTCCTTTCCCTGTCTGTGCACAGAACAACAGCTGCGGAGTCGTCCTTGACCCAGGCAGGTGGCACAATGCAGAACTAAAGGCACTGCTGGGAGAGTCATGTAACCTCGGGCGAATCCTTTCAAGTCTGTGTGCCTGTGCCCCTCCCAGGCCTGGTGCTGACCCACCTTCTGTCCTGCCTTCCAACTCTGCCCCTCTCCTTGGATTCCTCTCCCTTCCCAACTGTTTTCAGAAGAGGCTCGCTCATATCCTTGACCCAGCTGTAAGGAAATATTGTCACCCTAATGCCACCTGCTGGGTCCCCGCTGGAGCAAGAACCCACAGGGGAAGGGGCAGCCAGGCGGCAAAGCCCCCACCCCAGCCTGTCTCCCCACCACTCCTTTTTTTCCGAGAAG